AAAAAAAAAAAAAAAAAAGAGCCAACCACCACCCTCTTTGTTCTCATCTCTTAAAAGCAACTTGACATGTATCTTCTTCCTAAAACAAAAATGCCATCAAGGATTTAGAATGCTAAACTTCCTTAATGGAAATGTGAGAGAGGAAATTTTAAAACAAGTGGCAAGCAAACATTTAGAGTACAAAAGCTCAAAGTAAAAATGTCCTAAAACAGATTCTAATATCATAGGAACTTAATATGTAATAAAAGTAGTACCACAGGGACGCCTGGGTGGTGCAGTCAGTTAAGCATCTAACTCAACTGCGGCTTGACTTTGGCTCAGGTCATGATCTCAGGGTCATGAGACTGAGCCTCGCGTTGGGCTCCCCACTCAGCAGGGAGTCTGCTTGAGATCCTCTCTCCCTCTCCCTCTAAAAATAAATCTTTTAAGGGGGGGGGCGCCTGGGTGGCTCAGTCGGTCGAGCATCTGCCTTCGCTCAGGTCATGATCCCAGGGTCCTGGCATCAAGGCCCCCACTGGGGTCCCCATTCAGCAGGTAGTCTGCTTCTCCCTCTCTCCCTTTGCTCCTCTCCCTGCTCGTGTGCGCTCTCTCTCAAATAAGTAAAATCTTAAAACAAAAAAAAGTACCACAAATCAATAGAAAAATGACTGGCCACAAACCACATTGCAGAAAATTTAGTTAACTCCTTGGGGGAAAAAAAAAGAGTTCTCCTCAGCAAGAGGAAGGGTTTTCAACAATAGAAGTCATACACACGCCAAAATATCCTCTGGGAATCAAAAACCACGACATACACATACACACACACACACACACACACACACACACAAACAAACAACAAAAAGCTAGGGGCAAATTATTTGCAATAAAGGAGACACAAACTAAAAATTAATATTTAAAAAATTTTCAAATTAATAAGAAAAAAGTTTAGAAAACAGTCAACATTAAAAAACAAGAGAACCAGGAAAAGCACATTAACTTCATTAATATAAAAATTGCACATTAGAACAATGACATATCACTTTTCACCTATTCAAATGGTAAAAATTTAAAACATAATACCCAATACAGGTAAAGGTATTGACATTCTCCTACACTGCTTCAAAGTATTCTCATACATTGCAGATTGGCAATACATGTCAATATTCTTCAAAAGTTATATCCTTTAATTCAGTAATTCTACCATCAAATGTCAATCTCCTAAATAATCAGGGATGTGACAAAGATTTATGAGAATCTTCATCAACAGCATTTATAAGAAAAAAATTAGAAATGACAAGGTCCAATCACAAGAGATTAGCAAAGTAAGTCATGGCTCATCTATACAATAGAATGTTAAAAATTCATTAAATGTTTTTAAGGCTATTTAATGACATGGAAAAATAACACAAGTGTAACAATATTAAGTCAAACTAAACTGAATGCTTCTCCCAGTGACATCAATGTTCAGTTAAAGGATGTAAAATTCAAACAGTTGCCTCCCCTGCTCCCAGAATGTCCTCTCTGCTCCAAGCCATCCTCCACCTTTGCCTCTGAAGGCCTTCTCTGCTGCTCTAATCTACTCCCTACCCATTGCCCTCCTTTTGTTGCTGGGCCTCCCCACTGTAGACACTTCTCTAAGGATCAGTCCCAGGGATAGAAGACACTTTTATAATGTCTTTATCCTCTCAAAGGTCTTTTGACCCCAATACCCAGAATCCTCTTCTGTGGCATCAACAAGCTCTCTCGGGATGTCCAGCCCTGTTCCTCCAACCCCTACCTCCATCCCAAAAAGCTTCTCTTCTTTCCTGCTAATAATGAACACTTAATGAATGAATGAATGAGTAAATGATCTAATAGTATAAATCTAATTCTCATAAAGGAAATAAGTTTAACTCCAGAGGATGAGGTTACGGGATGCTTTTATTTTCTTCCCCACATTATTCTGCTCACTCCATGTTTCCTACAACAAATGCACACCATGTATACTTTTTTAATAAGAGAAGAAAAAATGGAATTGTACTTTCTCCTCCACTTTCCCTGGCCCCCTAGGTCCAGATTAGAGATACTCATTCTTGACCAGGGGTAACAAAAGAAACTCAAGTTTAGGATTTCTATATATTTTGGAAAACATTTAGGACCTACAGTAAGTCCAGCCTTAACAAGTAGCCTCTGGGCCACTAAATAGCAATTCTCTTTTCTGGAATTAAAGATTAACGAGTTAACAAAATTAAAGCATGGGGCGCCTGGGTGGCTCAGTCGTTAAGCGCCTGCCTTCGGCTCAGGTCATGATCCCAGCGTTCTGGGATCGAGCCCCGCGTCGGGCTCCCCGCTCGGCGGGAAGCCTGCCTCTCCCCCCTCCACTCCCCCTGCCTGTGCTCCTCTCTTACTGTGTCTCTCTCTGTCAAATAAAAAATAAAATCTTTAAAAAAACAAAAAAAAAAAAACAAAAAAAACAAAATTAAAGCATGTCCAAAAACCAGACCGCCATCTTGTCTGCCATCTCTTAACAAACTGCAGAAGAACTCACAACACAAATCTGGCCAGAGGGCTTATAACACTATTTCATAAAGTTGGCTGTGTTTTCCCTCTTCTCACAAATGGCCAGCTTGATGCATTGCATGTTTAGCTACAAAAACCTCTGCTGACTCTCCCTGTAACATTTTCATGGCTCGCCAATAGATCTGTCCACAGTTCTCAGGTCTACCAAGTGGGTGGTTCAATTCTTCTTTGATGTAATCCATCCAAAGATCTTTAAAAGGAACGAAAAATTACTGTAAACATACAATTAGATCATTGACAAGACTTTATCATGTAAACTTATTTAATATTGATTCAGTGTAAGATTTCTAAGAAACTTAACTTGTTGCTGTCATTTCCCTAGAGCCCTGAGTGAAACAATACCTCTCTCAGCTTCTTTACACTAAGGCACATCAAACTTTTTTTAAAGTGGAAAACTTCACTTTAAATCATGACAGTCTATGTAGTTCATACACCAAAAATACTAAATATTTTAGATGGAGGATTTTGCTCAGTCTCTTTCAAGGTGAAACTGAGCTTCAATACATTCACTCTAAATGTGCCTAATAAAACTTGCTTGGCTTATTAAAAATGCCATTTTCATTCATTTCACCAGAAGGTCTGCTAAAACTTTGTAAAAGCTAACGTATTTTTTTTTTAATCTAAGTTTAACTACTAGACACTGTTTCTGAGTTCATAAGTAAACAGATTTTATATGACATACCTATACCCAGAAATGTTTCACAAGTCCTATAAAAATGAGGACAGTGTGGCAACAGCCAATGACAACTTATGTCAGTTAGCATCCCACTACCCCTTTCCTATCACTCCCACTTTTACTCTGACCTACACTAACCTTTCCCTTACAAATATCACATTTTTTTAGAGAACCAAACCAAGCAAATTGTTCTCTACTCCAGAGTTCTTAATGGAAGACCCATAAACTCTTGACCTTGTGAACTTGAAGTTATAAGCCAAATTATGTCTGCAAGTATTTACACACAAAGTAAGGGGGAAGGCAGGGCAAGGATGTAAGTTTTATTCTCAAAGAGAGCCATGACCTAAAAAGAGTTAAGCACTGTTCTAACCATACTGATGGGCTACAGACCACACCTGCAAACAGATGTGTCTATAACTGAAGTTTACTTACCAGAATCTACAGATCCAAACTCTCTCAAAGCCCTCTCATAATATTCTCTTAAGTTCGCCATCTTGCAGGATTCCTAACAAAAATAATCAGACAATCTTGCCTCAAAAGCCTAATTCATAATGTCACAAATTCCTTTCCACCACACTGTTAAAACAGCTACCACCTATTAGGTATCTGAAGGCGAGAAGGCTCAGGGTTTAGGACGAACACAGCCTAGCTCTCACCTTATCCAGAGAAAAGTCAAATGCAGCACTCACCAGAGTGAAGTCAATGTCAAACGGTGATAAAAGCACTCTGTTCTGGCAGCATGGAAAAAAGCCTAATTGATTCTCAGTTGGGGGAACAGGGGCAGCTTCACAGGAAAATACATTTGAAAGCCCTGAGGAAAGACTAGGATTTAAATAAATAAATGGAGAAGGTTTACTCCCTGTGGCTAAGGATTTCTTTCTTTTGTGTGTCTGGGCCCCGGCAAATATTAGCTATGTCCACCTTAAAACTTTTTATATGAAGCCAAATTTGGGCGCCTGGATGGCTCAGTTGGTTAAGCGACTGCCTTCGGCTCAGGTCATGATCCTGGAGTCCCGCATCGGGCTCCCTGCTCGGCGGGGAGTCTGCTTCTCCCTCGGACCCTCCTCCCTCTCATGCTCTCTGTCTCTCATTCTCTCTGTCTCAAATAAATAAATAAAAAATCTTTAAAAAAAAAAAAAAAATGAAGCCAAATTTATATTAGTATATAAATACTAATTATATAATCTTCCCCGAGTTTTTTAAACCCTCTGACCTTAAAAGTTTCCTCACCCATAAAAGAAGGATAATGATATCTCTTACAGCAACTACAAGGATTCAATTAAAAAATGCTGACTTGGGGCGCCTGGGTGGCTCAGTCGTTAAGCGTCTGCCGTTAAGCGTCTGCCTTCGGCTCAGGTCATGATCCCAGGGTCCTGGGATCGAGCCCCGCATCCGGCTCCCTGCTCTGCCGGGAGCCTGCTTCTCCCTCTCCCACTCCCCCTGCTTGTGTTCCCTCTCTTGCTGTGTCTCTCTCTGTCAAATAAATAAAATCTTAAAAAAAAAAAAAAAATGCTGACTAATTATGAACCTAGCAGAGTAGCTGGTACTAACTTTACAATCAATAAATGTTCATTCTTTACTTCTATTTCCATTTAAATGTATTCTCTTTTGTTTCATTTCAAAGGAGAGTAACCTCTACAGTTTAAAAATACTCTTGTATAGTCAAGTAACTATTTCCTCATTCAAATTTCTCTTCCCTAAGGCTATATTATTTTACAGAAAGTCAACTTCACTCCGTATCATACACATGCATGAAGAACAGAATCACACTTTGTTAAGGGCTCATAACGTGCACAGGACTGTGCGAAGTGTAGTACCCCCTCCTGGCCTTGTAATCTGCACATCCCTGAAACAGGTATTATGACCTTCTTGACGGAAGAAGATGCCAATGCTGAGAAGTGCCCAAGACACATACCTATTATGTTATTAATCCAAAGCCTGGTTATTAATTATTACGCTGTATTACCTCTTGTATGAAAAGAACAAGAACAGATAAATGACCCACACAATGATTAAAACTATAAAAATAAGAGTTCAACCTCACTAGTAATTTTTCAAAATTCAAGTAAAAATAATAAACACCAATCAAAATACCAAAATAAAGGAGAAAAAGCAAAACTGCAGATTTAGAGAGGGTGTGAGGAAATAAATATACTGATATTCCTGATTATCACTATAAAGAAGTACACTTCTTTTGAAGGACCATCTTACAATATATGAAGAACCATTAAAGGGCGCCTGGGTGGCTCAGTTGTTGAGTGTCTGCCTTCTGCTCAGGTCATGATCCCAGGGTCCTGGGATCGAGCCCCACATCGGGCTCCCTGCTCTGTGGGGAGCCTGCTTCTCCTTCTCCCTCACTTGTGCTCTCTAGCTCTCTCTCT